CGCCGGAAAATATATCTCCGAAAAAATATTTAATTATTCATATTCTTATGATTAATTATTAAATAATTAATAACTTTTATAATTATTAAATGAAATGCTTATTTATACTTTACCAAATGTGCAGCAACACTCTTTCTTTACAAAAATACCATATTGAATAAATTATATTGTAAGCTAATAAGTAACAACATTGCTTTGTTTAATTAAGATACAATAACAAGGAGAACAAACATTAAATTGGAAGTCAAACAACAAAAATCAGCGTTATGTTTTCAAATTTTCACAATCTAATTTTCATTATATCTTATCTCGTTCATTTGCGCTTTTGAACAGGGTTCGTAGCGGTCCTTATAAGTGCTTCTAAGTCCTTATATTTGAAAATAAAATATAAAGGTTATGCTTACTTTTTGGTGCTTATTTTTTGGCTTTGAACCTATTTTTCCCGGTAAAAGGAAACTAAATAAACAACTTTTCTTCCTAATATGGAATCAATGTGAATCTAGGAAATAGCTTTTCCTTTCTCTGCATTAAATAACCTTTGAAAATATTGTTCTAAAATGCGAAAGTAATAAATAAAGAAAAAGTAATCGAATAGTCAAAATAATTTTTTTTTTTTGAATTTATAAGTACGAAGATTGTTCTTTTCTCCAAAAATCTCGAATATTGAAACTTTGTTTGCAAAACAAGCAATTTTTTTTTTTTTTTTTTTTGTCATTTCCAATCTGATTGAATAGAACTAAAAGTTCTGCGGTTAAAGCGAAGAATGATTCTATTCTGGAAATTTAATGTCTGTTGAAAATTAGAATGAAAAACACCCCAGTTATAGTTCTTTAAATTTGTTTTCTTGCGTAATATCACGTAGGGAAGAATTACACGTATTGCGCAATAACGTTGCAATATTTTGAGAGATAATTAATTTTGATGTTTCAGATTTGTCTATGAACACTTAAAAGAGTTTACTGTGCTTGCTAAGCAGAATATTTTTCAGATTGAATGAACGCATATCGAAATTCAAAAGCATTTAAGAATTTATTTAACATAAAGTTAACTGTCCGAATATTCGCCAATTTCCAAGTATGATTAAGATTTTACTGTTAAAGAATGACTGCATGAAGCAAATTTCTGAAAAATGTTCCTCTTTTTTATAAATTACTTTGAATATCTGTTAATGATATACAATGAAAATTCAGAAAATGTTTAACTTTAGATTTAAATTATTTAAATATCAATATGAGTAAAAATAAAATTGTATTATTATTAGGTTCAAGTGAATACAATAAATATGCCTTATATTATTTTTTTCTCTATTTTGAACTAAATTTCATCATTAATGTAATATAGTTTAGTTCCATTTTTTTCCCATTGTAAACTAGTTATGTAAATTGAACTTTATTTAAAATAAAAAAAAAAAAGTAATCCATTAAATGCTTATTCTAAAATTGTTTCGTCCTAAACTCTTAAAAAAATAAAGTAAAAAAGAAAAAACCATCGAAACTAGTCTGTGAAAATTTGAAAATATAACGCTGATTTTTGTTCTTTGACTTCCAAATTAATTGCTTTGCTTGTTATAAATATGTCTCATCTTTCCTATTTCAGATAAAATTTACTAGTGTTTCTTGGACAGGAAAGCAAGAATTTTTAGTTTGAATCAATAAATTTATGATACACTGAAAACGGTTTCAAGTTATAATTCCCTTTCTGAATATCTTGAATGTATATAAAAAAAGTAAAATGCAAATTTAATATTAATATTATCACCCTTAAAAAACACCCAAATGTTTCGTTTATTTAAACTACGTAAACTACGTAATAATTAAGGACTTAAAACTAAGTAATAATTAAGGAAAAAAGAAATTATTTAAAATAGTTATTAGTTGCATGCAGTTGAAGAATATAGGAAAATGCTGAAGGTTTTAAAGATTTTTAATTAATGACAAAAATACAGAAAATCGGAAATAAATACGAAATGTTTCAGCAATATCTCAGAAGGAATGAAAGTTGCACCAGATATTTGTCAGAATATAATTTTAGTGATAGCAGTTTAATATCAGTCTGCATTGAAATTCCGGTGATAATCAGTGACATACAGATTTAGGTTTAAAAAATAAAAAAATTAAAATGCGTAAAATTTAAAATTTAACCAAAATAAATTTTAAAACCAATTTATTTGACGCTGCGCCTTCGTCTTTTTAAATGTACCGGAAAAATGGCTGAAGGGAACTTTAAATAAAAGGAGGATTTTACTCTGCAGAACAACTTCATAAAAAAAGTTATTACGTATAACAAAATTACAATGAAATAAGCAATGTCCCTTAATACAAATATTAATTATCCTAATAAATAAATTAACCAAATTCCCTTTGCAAAATCTTAAGAACTCAAATGGTATAAAGGAGGTTAAGAACTTTGTTTCCTAAAAAAAATCAGTCAAAACTTTTCAATATCTTAAAAACAGTGAAATGAGCAATAAATAAAATAAAGGAATGCAAAAAACAAAAAATTCTGAAAAGCAAAGTATAATTAATGATATTTTATCTTATGTTTTCAAGGGAAAAAATTACAATGAAATAAGCTATATCTCTTAATACAAATATTAATTATCCTAATTAAAAAATTAACCAACTTTCCGTAGAAGAACAAAAATCATGCAAAACTTTTCAATATCTTATAAACAGTGAAATAAGCAAAAAATAACATGAAAGCAACTCAAAAAACATAAAATTCCGCGCAGAATTTTACTCCACAGAACAACTTTATCAAAAAAAAAAAAATAAATAAAAATATATTATATTATATTTATATAACAATGAAATATGCCAATCTCTTAAAAACAGTGACATAAGAAATACGATGAAAAATTGTTGCCAAACCCATATTTCTAAAAGAATGAAACTATTCAAAATGATGCGATTTCATCAAAAATCTATCAACAACAATAAGAAAGAAAAATTGTTGCCAAAATCACATTTTTAAAGATGTGAGATGTGAGAAAGTGTACTCGGAAGCTTCATTTAAAAAATTTCTTAAAAATACAAAATATTATCATTTTTCCAAAATTCTTTTTGTAAAAGCAGTCGCAAGGATGAAAGTTTAACGTGTCCAAAAATCAAAGAAAAATAAACTGTACATTTTTAAAAATAAACTTTTTTAGAAAAAATCCCATTGAAAAAGTGTTAAGCTCCCTTTGTTAAATAAATTCGTATTTAATCGATTTATTGAAACACGAAATTTATTTTAAGTTCGTAAAATAGCTAAGTGCCTACGTTTCATGACGATGTGAAAATGGAGTGTGTAGAGTAAAATCTCGCTTTCCTATAGCCCATTATGTTTCAAAATGACACGATTTCGTCACAAAACATGAAATAAAAAAGAAAATCGAATTCGAATTTCGAAAAAATCGCTTCGAAGTGCACTGGCTCTTGTGTAGATGTACCTATGTACCAAATTTCGTAGCCTTGGGTCTATTAGCTTACGCGTAGCGCAAACGAAAGACACACACACACAAACTCTTTCTTTTATTATATGTAGAAAAGATATGTAGAGATAAGATTGTTTAAGGGAAGGAAACTTTTAAGTTTCGCAGCTGTACCCTGCGGCATTAAGACGGTCATCACGGAGAGTCTAGCCTTTTGCAATTCTCTTGAGAGCTCACATCTACCGAACAATATTTAGTAATCAATCTCACTTAGCGGAATCATTGAAGTAAAATTCTGGGAGGGATGGGAAATAACAAAAGAACTGCTTGACAATTTTCAGAGGTTTAGGGTTATTTTCGCGACATTTTACGGGAAGTTCGGTCCAAAACTAGCGACAGTTTTAAAGGGATTCGCAGAAAATCACTCGACAGGCTAAGGGTTAAAAGCTTATGGAGAATGCTAGGAGGTCTGCAGCAATGCAAGTTGCATTCTAGCATTTCTTCCTAATATGCTGTTAGATTTAAAGGTGGAGAATATTCTCGCCACTGTACCCACTAGATTGCTTTATTTTCAAAGTAATCAATCAGTTAAGCAGGGGGGTAGTCGGCATATGTGTAAGGTAATCAATGTCACTTAAGCAGGATAGTCGGCATATGTGTAAGGTAGTCGGGATGAGCATTAATTTTCTGTTAGTAGGACATTATTATGAATTGTACCTATAAGGCAACTTACTTAAGGGTCAAGAACATCATCTCTGTATATTTAATCATTCATAATTAAACTTGTAAAAATGTGAAGTGCAGCCATTAAAAATGAACACCTGGCCATACCAGGATTTCACCACCGTTGTACCTGCGTATTTCACAGAGGTTTTCAGGGTTTTTCAGTGCATGTTTTGTTGCTCTCCTTCATATTGTACAATTTAGAATCACTCTCCAAGCAAAAGCTCATCAGTAAAGAGAACATGGTTCCAGTTTGTAAGTACTCCAATTATGATATCTTTACAACTGCAAATACATTTCGCAGCTTGAGTTAATGAATCACAAAACTTGGGTTTCCTTCTATGCAGCCCTCTTTTAAAATTTGGACCAATAGCAGTTACCTGTTTCTTTTAATAATCATTGCTGAGTAATGATTCTGAGAGCCTGTTGTGGCACATCTTTGACCTGACCTGGCTATCTGCATATATCACCAGTGCCTTTAAATCATTTTTAGATTCACAACATGACACTTTTAATACTTTTGGGTCTTTAAGATGTCTGTCAGTATTTGTCCTGCTTCCACTGTCTCAATTGCATGCCACTTTTCACAATCCATAAAATGCCTTCTCAGTGACATGCATCACCTTTCACACTTGAAAACATTAGCCAACTCATACAGTCCTTGAAATGAAAATTTAAAATATCTGCTTGCACTCCCTTACACATATGCTGAAAGATCAGGCAGAAATATTTGCATATTTCCCTATGTCATGAAGGTGAATCATTTTGGACTAGGAAATAAAGTTTATCTTATCAGAATTGTTTAAAAATAAATGGAATTATATTGAATAATTTTCTTAAATCCACCCTTTTTCTTTTTAAGGAAAACATGGAAGCTGATGAACCACAATTTCCTGGTGTTACAAATATTAATATGAGGCCTAATGAAGATGACGTTGAGTATGAAGAAGAGGAAGAGGAGGAGGAAGAACCTGATGAGGAAGAAATGGATGGTATGGATGTAGAAGAAGAGGAAGATATGGAAGAGGAAGGGGAGGAGGAGTGTTCTGAAGAGGAGGAGGAAGAGGAAGAAGAGGACGTTCCTCCTGAAGAGGAAACAGGTCATGATGGACAATTGCAACTTAGAATGCCTCTTACTGTGAAAGTATTTAATGTAGATCATCCCTTGAAATGCCGTAGTATAAGAATTGGGTCATTGAAAGTTCATCCGAAGGGTCCGCTGTCGTATGTGCCAGTCCATTTGTCTAGTGATGGTATTGCATTCGAAGCTCCAACTCTTACTAATCGTAAGTAGTTTTAAATCAAAAAGTTAATTTCTATTTATTTCTTTGTATATTGATATAATATTTTGTTAAGGAGTTCTTTCTGCAATATGTAATCTTCTTTGGTATCTTTTAATATTTATCGCACTCCAGATCCTTACTGATATTAAATAGTTTATGGAATATATTTTGCCTTCAAAAGTCTTCTGCTCACCTATGAACAAATATATTATTGTGTTTATTCATTAAGGAACAGGGTAAAAGAAAAATCATCAAGCTATCATTCCCCCCTCCCTGTTTGCTTGAACTTTAGCTGCAACATTTTTTAAACATACAGTAGACTCCCGATTATCCGTGGGCGGTTTATGGTCCATGCCTGCCGCACAAAGTCTCTTTTATATATATATATAAAAGAGACTTTGTGCGGCAGGCATGGATAAACCGCCCATTTATATATATATATATATATATATAGTACAAGTGTAAAGCAAAGAAAATAAAAATGTTCACAAAACTGAGTGAAACGTTTAATTTGCTAACATCGGGCTTATTTATAGCAAAAAATATCCCAGGCCTTCTCGGAACCTTCCCCTCTGATGAGTAACTTCTTACTCACCCTTGTAGTGCCCACTCCACCGCCCTCTCTCGTCTTACCGACACGTCGACTTCCTCCCAGTCGCCATTGTTAGTTTAAGCCTGATAGTGTTTGCAAACCGGTCGGAGTTAATTTCTTATTTTTTATTGTGTTCAGTGCTTGTGCTTTTTGGTTTTGTGTTTTTCGTTACCGATTTAAAATGTCAGGAAAACGAAAGAAGGTTGTGCTGACGATTGTGCAAAAACTAGAATTAATTTCCGAAGTAGTAAACGGCGCTACAAGGCAGCAGATGGAATTGGATTACGGAATATTGGAAACAACAGTGCATGACATTCTAAAGCAAAAAGACAAACTGGTGAACTTTGCATCAATGTCGGACAGTGCTTCCGCAATGAAAACGCGAAAAACTATGAAGGGTTCTACCTTTGATGAGCTAGACACGGCATTGACAGAGTGGTTAGCTCAAGTTCGAAAAGAGGGTACTGCTCTAAATGGTCCTATCATTGCGGCGAAGGCAAAAACTTTTTTTGAGTTGTTAGGCCTGAAAGGAAATTTTGATGCGTCTTCTGGCTGGTTGACTCGTTTTAAGATATGGAGTTCGAGAAATTGAACTTCATGGGGAGAAACTTAATGGTGACCAACAGGCAGCCGACGATTTCCACCATGAATCTGAAGAATTTGTTTTAAAAGAAGAGCTGTCTTTTGAACAAATTTACTATGCCGACGAATCTGGACTTTTGTGGAAATGTCTTCCCACTCGTACTTTAGCATTTGAAAGTGAAAATAAAGCGACGGGTCATAAAAGCAGCAAGGAAAGGATCGCTATCATATCTTGCAGTATTGGAAAGGGAAAAAAAAAAGATCTTTCAAAGGCACAAGGATAAAAAATTTGCCCGTTGATTACTTTAACAAAAAAAAAAAAAAAAAAAAAAAAAAGATGGGTGAACCGAAACATTTTTCAAGAATGGTTCGAAAAAATGTCTTTGTTCTTCAAATGCGTAAACATCTTAAATCGAAAACCTGCCTGAAAAAGCTGTGCTATTGATCGACAACACGCACCTTCTCACCCAGCAAACAAGCGTGCTAAAGTCTTCTTGATGGACAAATTTTTTTGCAAAGTTTCTCCCCTCCAAACGTTACTGCGCTAATCTAATCTAACCCATGGACCAAGGAGTCATTGCAACAATTATGAGAACATACGCAACCAAGCTGCTAATGATCAAAATTGAAGAAGGTTATGATCTGAAAGAGTTCTGGAAACACTACACAATCTTGGCAGCATTTACAACATTGCATCTGCATGGGAACCGTCAACCCTCATAAAATCATGGAGAAAACTCATGCCTAATGTTGAAGACAACAACAACCTAACCCCTTTGAGTTGTGAAGAAGAGAATGAAGATTTAGACATGCTCACGGCAACTCTTGCTGATATGGTGAAAACAGTTCCGGGTGGTGAGAATGTCGATGCTGAAAACATTAACGAGTTGTTGGAGTGTAACGTCAACGAACCTGGCTTCGAATGCTTGACAGATGACGAAATTGTGAAAAAAGCAAAGGGAGACACGACCGATAATGAAGGACAGCGAAGTGAAGGCGGTTAAGAAGAGCCCACTGTGCAGATGCAGGAAGACTCATGAAAGCGGCTTTGCAATAAGTCGACAGGACTGCGGAGCTATTTGGAAGAACAAGACGATGCGGAGTTAGCCGAGAAACTTATGCTATGAAAAATGCAATCTCGGATCAAGATGAAAATGCTTCCAAAACAAGAAGCAAACACATATGACTGATTTCTTCCAAAAAGGTGTAGTTTTACAGTTATGCTTTGTAATTACATAATACATTATAGTATTAAAACAGTACGTATGTATTAATTTTTCCGTGCATCCTTGATGCCTCTCGTAAGTATACAAAGCACTTTTCTATTTTCATTAACAAAATGCATTTTAGGTTAGTTTTGAGTGATATACTAAAATATTAAGCGTTAGTTAAACATTTCCTGCTGTTTATTTTACATTTTATTGTACATAAAACGATTTTTCAAAGTTGGAATGACTGTTTTCTCTTTTGCTATACTCGTTTTTAGCTTTTTTCGGATTATCCGCGCCACCCAATTCCACGGATAATCGGGAGTGTACTGTACAAGCTAAGTATATCAAAGCCATACCATATATTTACCATGGGTCAGTGACACTTAGCCGACGGGACACTTAACCGACACCAGTCTGCTGACAGGACATTTAGCCGACACGGACACTTAGCCAACATGTCATTTAGCGGACACGGACAGTTAGCCAACAGGACATTTAGCCGACACGGACAGTTAGTTGACAGGACATTTAGCCGACACACAGAATTCGCAGTCGGGGCATTTAGCTACGGGACAGTTAACTGTCAAGACATTTTGTCAACAGGACACTAAGCCGTCAGTGACATTTAACTGATGCATACAAAATAATTATTTTAATTTACAATCAATTACAAAATTTCTCGACTTCTCCATAAGTTCAATGTCTAAGTTATTTTTTTCATCTATCAGTAAAATTCAGTTTTTGGTTATTGAAGATCTCATACGTGCTTTTAATTATTGTGTTAATTTAGCATTGTTTGATATGTATCATGCTGTTCGGTGTATATTGGCCAAATTGAAAAAGTGCTGAAATTTCTCGTCAAGGAATATGAATTAAATTTTGAAAGGAAAAAGAATTTTTTTAGTTAAGTACAGTGCTCACTTAATTGCATTTTAATATGGAATCTTCAAAAATTATCCATAAAGCTTCTTCATTTAATCAACTTTCACATCATTAATAATTCTTTTGTTTACTTAATGATATTAATTTTCCAATCTCGCTCTTCCAAATGCTTTCAAATTTCTAATATCTTTACGTTACATTACTATTTTGCTCATCACATCGTGTTACATTCCTTCCCTTAAAAAATCGTTTGGCTCCTTTCACTAATGAAATTTTTTTTCCCTGTCATGAAAAATCTGAATAATGCAATAAAAATTACTGTTATTCTTGAACTTTACTTTTTTATTGAAACATATGGCAGTGAGGGTTAGTTTAGCAAATATATTATTAAAAAAAGTGAATTTTTAAGACCAGCAAAGGTATAAATTATTTGTGACCTCTGTAATTAGCAGTTCATGCCACCATCCTCAAAACATAATTTGTGCAGACGAGAGTTATAATATGTCGAATGGTTGCTGCTGTTGATTAGAGAAATTGTTCTTTCTGTGTATGGCATTGCTTTATTCCTGCGATTTTGTGAAGAAAGGGAAAAAGACATTGCTCTCACTGCTGAAGCTGATTCTGAGTTGCTGTCGTCTCTTCTTGATGTTCACGATAAGGATATTTTCATTATTCTTATCGCCCATTAGGTTTAAAGTTAGGATTCATACATATCATGGACAAGGAGGCGATCGAAAACCGTATCAAATCTGTGTGTAATCACAGAAATCTGGAAGTTACCAGCGATAACTTAGAAAACTTAAGCAACTTATGCTTTCTGAGTTTCATGCTTATCAAAACTCATTTAATCCAAATAATGCGACTGAAGTTCATTTAGCTCACATCAATGCTATGGAAAAGGATATACAAATCTTGAAATTATACATTAATGAAATGAAACAAAAAGAAACCCTAAATAATCCAACACAGGAAACAAGTCAATCTGATATTACTGCTAGTCAAAAATCTAGAATCAAAAAGAAAACCACAATAGATAAAGAAGGATACTACCCCTAGAAAACTCATAAAGAACTCTATCAAATTCCGAAATTGAAGAACCAGCTCAAAAAAAAAAAAAAAAAAAAATAAAATAAAATAAAATAAAATAAATAAATTCAAGGAACTAAACCCTGAAGACTATATGCAAGCAGAGGAAGGTGAATTTATTACACCCAACAAAAAAGCAGGACACATTCCCCCTATAGTCTTAACAAACTTCATGGGGGATTGGTATAAGATGAAAGAAGATTTTGAAGAGCAATTAAATATAAAAAAATATCGTGGAAACCTAAGTGGAGGTACACTGACCATAAGAGTTTATTACTCAGACCACTACCACACAGTTTGAAGACAGCAGCCAGTTCAGTCTAGCCTACGATGTCTCTCCAAGAATTGCGCTTCATAACACGAAATGAATGATCCCACCTCACTGCGGATTCTTGCACGATATTCCTACAAGCAAGTTATGCCTATAAAGTATCTGCCAAACACTATAATGCTCATCACCTCTACTCGATAAAATGGTATTGATTGCTTCGCATTCAAATCTCCTGAACTTAATGCTACACAGAAAAGGTTATGCTCGTAATTTCACTTGCTATATACAGGGTAAGGCATGCTGGATACCTACATGTGCGACTGCGTCGCTCATAGGACAGGGAAAGGAACTTTCTTAATGGGAGGAGCAAACGATTTTG